ACAAGCATGTCTATCGAATATTATTATATTAAATTATATTATCATCACCAGTCGGAAACATAAGAACGGGTTGAATAGCGACGATTCTTGGGCGAGAAAACAGTTCGCCATTTGTATCATGTTACCGTCGCCAAAGTGAACGAGTATAATTCTAAGCATCTCATATACATATATAACTGAAACCGATATCATTCTATCGGGGATTGAGATTTTGATACCTTTAAGGTACCTGAAAATAACAATAGGCCTATTGTACATACAAAACATAAATTTATAGAAAATTTGAAATCCTTAAATGAGATCTGACGTGTAAATAGGCCTACTGAAAATATATTGTGCTGTACGGTGTGCAAATAGACTAAAGTCACCAAAAATAACATCTTATCTTAGTAAATCAAAACTGTATTATGTAAAGACAGATTTAAAGTTGTATATTGTATATTTCGGTAATTGTTCTATAAAAGGCCTACCTCAGACATAAAACTGTTACATGTTGTCTTTTTTATCACACATTTTTGGCAGATAAAATATTCCAGTTGGTGGAAAAAAATATGGACCTTTTTTTATATAAAAATTATCATCCATTTTGGCGGGAAAAAATTGAAAGCCGTTCTGAGCCCTGCCGGAGTGGCTTAATGAGTATGTTTGAACCCGGTAAAAAAAGTACATCAGTATTTTGCAGCCTGATTTCACCTTGTTATGCAGTGTACTCGATGGCATGCACATAAAAGAACCCGTCTCAAATTATTTCACTTCGACTTTAAAATTTGATGTAATAGCGCTTGCTCCATGTGCATTCGATTTGTTTGCTTTTAATAAGAGAGTGCTGTTAGGTTAGTCCAGTATATCGATATGTAATAATCCCATATTGCATTAATTGTTAGCACTGTCGGGGCCCTGATATACAACGCAGGAATGGCGGAAATGTCGCTGTCTTGTAAAAATCCCATATTGAATTGTTAGCACTGTCGGGCCCTAATTATACAATGAAGAATTGGCAGAAAATGTTGCGATCTTGTGATAATCCCATATTGAATTACTTGTTAGTGCTGTCAGGCCATAATTATACAACGAAGAATTGGTGGAAATGTTGCCGTCTTGTGAAAACTTTCCTCTTGGCAACTACATGGCGTATATATCCCATTATTATTAGCCCAATTGGTGCAGAAAAGTAGCAACGTTAAACCCCCCATTCAACTAGATTATGAATCTGGTTACAAATCATGTACGTTACACTCTTAAAGAAGCAATATTCTGATGTGAATATAATGTAATTTCTAAAATAGACCGCACCCAGCCTTAGCATGGAGTTAAAGCATAATATATTATGGTCATCTACAAACCTTGCAATTTCTCCAATACGTTTGAAAACTCTCAATTCTTAAATAGGTAGGCTACCAAATTTGATATTTGTACAGTAAGTACATTACAGGGAGATAAACAACATTACAGGGAGATAAACAATTTGGGTATTGGAGCTTAAACTGTTATTCTGGCATGCATAAACTTATTGCAACTTAACCGATGGATGATTATTGGTTTTTGGTCTTTTGTAAATTGCATTGTGGGTGACAAAATCCACAAGCATCACCTATATTCTGTTGTCTGAAAATAATTGTAAGAAGAGTTACATGAATACTCTTGTAGATTTAATGATTTCTGCAGAACTGTTCATATTTAAAGAAAAACTATGCGCAAGAGCTTTTTTTTGCATACAAAGAAATACATCACGATTGTTTGATAAGATGATCACATCAATTTCCAGGTGTACTTTTCCAGGTATCTTTATGTGTGCGTATTGGAAATGGTTGATTGGCAGAAATAGTTTTAGAATTAGATTTGGTAAAGATTTTCATTTGAATCAGTTATGGCCCACATTGAGTTGACAAAATTTTGTATCTAAAAACTATGTAATGCTACCTGTAGTATTAAATGCTTAAATTTATCAATTCCATAAAATTATATTTTTTTAACTGACAAAAATTTGTGTTCATTTGATGGATATCTTGTACAAAAGAAAGTACTCCTGAATTCTGAGCTGCCTTTGCTTTGGACAGGGATTCCTGAGAAGAATTTATAAACTTTTCTAGTGTACAATGCAGTCATAATGCCTGCTTTATTGGATAGAGCCAACATTTGGAAAGAATGAATCAATATTTCCAATAAATAGCCTGGGCTTGGTATCCAGTTTGTTTCATGATCAATACATTTCCAGGTAAATGTCTTAACCAATCAATACTATTGATCGAATGCGGAGGAAGTGAACAATGGGAAGCTAAGACCAAGACTTGCTTCACTTGTTTTCTCGCTCAATGGAACCTCGCTTGTTCAATGAGCTTTATATTATTTATAGGTTGCTAAAGAAATTTCTATACACAAACAGTGGTGCCTGATAAAATGAAATATGTGATAATGGGTTCAAAGCTTTTGCTTGCAGACGATGTCTGTTTTAGCTGTTTTACAAGACTGTTTCCTCTTTCAACAATAATACTCGATATGGACTTTGATTCTTTGATTAGTTTGATTTTATCAGTAATATTTGCCCCACCCATCTTTTTGTAATACCTCAATGGATGATACTCTTAGTTTTGTCACTGCTCAGTAAGAGGCATTTGACCCTAGCTTGAAAGGTCTCATCAGTGATTGAGTCTTGCCAAATATTTCGTTGCACGTTTTAGCTTGTTAAAGTGTATCAAGTGTACACCCAGAACGCTTTTTTGATTATGATAGTGTACATGTACATAAAATTTGTGTTGCTTCAAATTCTCTCACAATGCTTGTTGATTATGGTATCGGTACCTAAAATTTGTTTATTTGTTGTAGTGTTTTAGTAAAAGATCATGTACATGTAAGACAAACAATGTCCTCATTTTTCTTGTGCCATTTTAGTCCAAAAGCTTTCCAGTGTTGTTTCTATCAAAAGATGTCGGATAACAATCATCTTATGAAAATGTCTATAATTTTTATAGCCCCAAGCAATAATATTGAGATGGTAAAACTGCTGCAAATTCTAATAGTTGTGTCAATACATGCTCGGCCTGAAGTTATTGGAATCCAATATTTGTTCCAGTATCAACATTAAATTTAAATGGTGTGATATTTGCTTTGTTTCATGAGTACATAATTCGCCGGCAGTTTCCTTTGTTTAACCACCAGCCAGTGTAATGTATTGAATAGTCATCGCTCAATACTAAACTTTGGACAATTTTCCCCACACGATAGGTGAGACACCACAATAGTGCTTTGTTAATGGTTATCCTTTTGTTGCAAATATTTTCCCAGTTTTTGAATCTTGGGGATGTAAGAGACTACAGCAGATTTTGTTAGAACAGAATCAAACATCAAAGCCAGGCAATTTGTTTATTATTCTTGGTTTATCCTTTTAATCTACAAATCTGCCTTAAAAAGAAAAAAAAAAAATAAAAACTTTGTATTTGTTGACTGGTTCTATTGGTTGTTATGGAAGTGTTTTGTTTCAATTTAAATAATGTATTTCTAAGACTCTTCATGATGATTGTGTAGAACAGACTATCCTGGAATATTTTTTAAAAGTGATGAGTTTAGACTTGCCATACAACCCAATATCAATTTGTCCATTTACCTATTCGGGTCAGTCATTGTAGAAAGGAAACAGCTAATCATAGAGTTTAAATATTTTATAGGTGACAATCATTACTTATTGGAAAATCTCCTGTTAATGGGTTTATCCTATTTGATGTTTAAGATAGAAAAACATAAGAAAGGATATTGATTAATAGAAGTTGTTTGCACTAACTACCTGTATTTATTATACTCAATTAAAAACTCTTCCATCAGATTCACAAGTTTTTATATAATATAAATTGGTTAAGACTTGTTTGTCTATTCTACATGTACAAGTGTCGCAATTGATAATTAAACAAACTTACATAAAGTGTGTGCATAGAATTAAAAAAGATGACAAATCGAAACACTGTCACATGTTCAAGAATGTTAACTGTGCATTTGACCAATCATTCCCATCCTAACATTGCACTTGCGATCAATGCTGGATGCTTTTACAGAAACTGAAACTTGTTTCCCAAAAAATCTAAGCCAAACCAACAGACCAAGTTTCCTCGCCCCCCCCCCCTTTTTTTGAAAACAAAAATATGTTGAAATATATTGCAAAAAGCATAATATTGTTTTGATTGTGCATGGCTGCATTTGAAGCAAATGCAATGCAAAAAATCTGTTTTATAACACCAAATCATTTGAACAAGGATTTATTATGTGGATGTATTTTATAATAATCCAACTGGCCTCTTCCCAACCATAAATATTTGTTCAATATTAATGTCTTTCCCACAACATATTCAATTTTTCTGAGTACTCACAATTGATATTGTGATGCCATTAAATGTTAATGCCCAGGTCCAATCAAGTTGAAACTGTTGAATAATTGACTTGTATGATCAGCAAAGTCAGTAAGGGTTTAGCGTTTTGATGTCTGCAAAAGCTACATTGTAGCAAGCTGTGGCATTATGGAAAATAACTGATAATATTCGATAAATTCTGTTTTTTCATCTCCGGAAATAGATCACCATTAAATAAAGACTTTGAATGTAGACAATTGATCTTCGTTATACAGTAATTCTTGTAGAAGAATTCCTTTTTCACTCTCCCCAGTAACATGTTGTTTATTTTGATGCTATTGTATTCTAGTTTGCTGTTGTCAAGAACTTAACCTCTTTAAACAATGATGAACATGTCTAGGGTTTAGATTCAGACTGCCTCCAGCCAGCATCTAGAAATAGCCCATTATTCTGTGCTATTGGTTTTAAATGAAAATAAAAACTTGTATTAAAACATGTTTTTGCCTACATTTATAAAGAAAGTTGATTTAAACTGTCTGCTACTTGTGCTCAGGTTTCAAAATGATCAGTTATCATGTTTCACATTTAATACTTGACTGCCTTGATCATTGATTTCATGAAATTTTAAGTTTTATTAAACCACACCCATATAAATTGTCTTTTCAGGTCTTGCTGATATTCCAGACAGAATTATAATACCAGAATAAAGACAATCATGGAAGGTGGTGACTACGATGAAGGTAATTTTAGGACTTTTTTTTTTCTGATCCATTCAGTGCCATGAATTATTCATTTTCATAGGGTTTTAATAGAAATTTATAACCTTCTAATAAGACTTTTGCACAATATTGAGGCAGGTTCCAGCGCATGAATGTGTCAATAATTTAGAGTACCGTATGTCTTTCAAAGATTAAATGCTCTAGAAAATTATGTTCTTGTCTCGACCCTGTTATCTCACTGCAGTCAAATGGATTAGTCAGCTTTGTAAATAATAATCAGGTTCGCTGAGAAAGTTTCTTAATATTTTCTGTTACGGTTACCTACTTGTCAGTGTTGCATGACAGAGGGCCTGGCAAGGACTCTAGTCGTTTGCATGGGGGGAAATACTGTGATCTTGTGTACACATTGGCATGCCTGAAAAATAAAACTTGGCAGTTGGAATTCGAAATAAGAGTAGGCTGTAGTGCCGCTGTATGTGCAAAATTTCCCTCATGACACAATGTATGGCGTATGCAAGTCTTCATTAGACATGTTGGTGCAGAAAACTAGGACATTCAACCCCATTTCATTTCACTGCAGTCAAATATACTGCTTCACAGATTAAAGAAATATGTCCACTAGAAAACAAGATTAAAGAAATATGTCCACTAATAAACAGGATCATTAGATCTTACAAAAACCAGTGCTCTAGAAAGTTCAAAAATGCTTTGGACCAAGTACAGATTTTATCAATAATCACTCAATCTGCATTCTAAATGTTAAACATTTTCTAATGTTTATCAATCTGTAAATGTACATTAGCATACATGTATGTAGGCCTACTCCTGTTTACCTGGTCCAGTTTATTAGATGGATAGAGAGTGTAGGGATTAAGTAAACTTTTACATTTTACAGTGAAAGGTGGGTGTTGACAGGATGTACCCGAAGACCTTTCAAGCCTAATCCACATTATTTTTATCAATAAAAACTGAGTTGTATTGAATTCTGTTGTTTTATTTATTGATTATTCTCTATGTACATTACTTACAATTTTAATGCTTTTATCGGCTAATAAAACATGGTGGAATTTATATAGAAACAGAACAATGAATGTACAAGTATTCCAATGTGCAGTACTCGTGTTCCGTAAGAGCAAACATTTTAGTATGACTTAAAGAAGCTAAATCGCTAACATTTGGGACCTAGAAATTGACACAAGTTGGTCGCAACTCATATAATACTGTAATACAGCTTTTTATACGCCCACATTTTCATGTGGACGTATTATGCCGTCGCCCCTGTCCGTCCGTCCGTCCACAATTGTTTGTGGACACTCTACAGGTCACAATTCTTATCCGATTTTGACGAAACTTGAAAAATATAGGTTTATCTCCAAAATATCTCGGTGCTTTCGATATTGGCATGTATCGGATCGAAACTTCATGGATTATGGCCCCTGTTTGTGCGAAAAATCACGTTTTTAGCTTGTGGACACTATAGAGGTCACAATTTTTATCCGATTTTGTTGAAACTTGAAATGTAAGTTGATAACCCAAAGATCTCGGTTCCTTTCGATATTCGCGCATATGGGACCGTAACTTCCTAAATTGTGGCCCCTGATTGTACAAAAAATCACGTTTTTAGCTTGTGGACCCTATGGAGGTCATAATTTTTATCCGATTTAAAAAATCGTTTTATTATATCACCGTTACACCCTAAGGATTACGGAGTTTGAATTTCGTGAAAATCGGTCCAAAATTGACAGACAAAATGGCCGCCGTTCGTTCTCAAATAGCGTAAAAATATGGTATATCAAGGTTGTGGACCCTATAGAGGTCACAATTTTTATCCGATTTTGTTGAAAGTTGAAATGTAGGTTTATAACCCAAAGATCTCAGTTCCTTTCAATATTCGCGCATATTGGGCCGTAACTTCCTGAATTATGGCCCCTGACTGTACGAAAAATCGTGTTTTTAGCTTGTGGACCCTATAGAGGTAATAATTTTTATCCGATTTAAAAAAACGTATTATTATATCACCGTTACACCCTAAGGATGAATGAGTTTTAATTTCAGGCAAAATGGCCACCGTTCGTTCTCAAATAGCGTAAAAATATGATATATCAAGGTTGTGGACCCTATAGAGGTCACAATTTTTATCCAATTTTGTTGAAACTTGAAATGTAAGTTTATAACACAAAGATCTCAGTTCCTTTCGATATTCGCACATATTGAATTGTAATTTCCTGAATTATGGCCCTTGATAGTAGGAAAAATCACTTTCTTGTTAGCTTGTTCACTATCCATCTCTCGAAAATGTTGGCGTATCCTTCCTGGCAGCCGCTGGTTATTTCTTCGACATCGGACTGCCTAAAAGTTCTTGAAAGTCGGCGAATCTGCTTTGGCTCGGCGATTCGAAAATTCGTACAATTTTATCACCCGTATCCACGTGAATTCCGCAAAGTATCATGGTACCACACTTCCGTACTAAATCGAATACTTCACTGTTGAGTTGTAGAATTCAGATTTTAAAATATCCGTAATAAATTGAAAATCAAAACACAAATCACACCTGTGCATGGCACCGTATTTACATGTACCTCGTGCGAAGAACAGATAACGCCACCTGGAATTCCCTTCTCACATATCCGGACTATTTTTACGCTACAAATTATATTTATATATGAAATATTTTTCCGACCTGATTTTTTGATTTTGTCAAATTGTCTTATAAATTTTTCATAGCCTTTATTTTTGGAAATTATTTAAAAAAATTTAAATGATTAAAGGGACAATAACACTCTTGCTGGCTTGAAAGCTCCAGAAAATAAATAATATATCTAAGTACTAGATGTTTAAGTGTCCTACCGGTTGTGTAAATTACCCATTACATCCTATTTTACTTGTCCAGAGGGTTCGAAAATATTTTTAAATCGAAGTTTCATTTGAAAAAGTTTACGTTAGACGTTTCAAACCATTATGTTGAAATTTTCAAAATTTTTAAATTAGGTGTGTTAAGATGAAATTTGTATCATCAATTAATTGAAATATTCTAAAATAGTACAATTTGTTGACCAGAATAAAGATTTGGACATATTATTCAGTTACAACAAGAGTGGTATTGAGCCTTTAAATACACCAAGCAACGAGCCGTGTGCATTTCCATTCCAACCACTACTATATTTACTGTGGTGTCGTTACGGTAGAATTATTTCAGGTGACTTGGGGGTGCGTTTTAATTTATTTAGATATAATGCTCCATAATGCTATAAACTAGTGTCAAGCAGATCAAAACAAGCGTAGATGGTGTGAAATTCATTGATATAAAATTGTCTACTTCCAAACTGTGTGAGTAACTGTAGCCTACGACAGAGCGAAATGTAATTGTAAACAGTGCAAATGGCGGCTTTTCGCGGTATTTCCGTGCTTAATTCTTGCATTTAGAAATGAATAATTAAATGTACGTGACGTGGACGTGAGTATTGTGGTCAATTTACTGAACATCAAGTAAAATCATTTAGAAACGAATAATTAAATGTACGTGACGTGGACGTGAGTATTGTGGTCAATTTACTGAACATCAAGTAAAATTTAGTCCACCTGTCACAAGCGACAGGTAGTTTTATTTACTACCTGTCAGACGAAAAAATCGCCTGTCGGCAACAAGTAGACAGGCGAACATTTCGAGCCATGTGATATGAATGTATATAAACAGATATACATTCAATGGTTTCCGTTTTTACTCTAATTTCAAATCAGTTATGTTCCGCGAAATAAGCCAGCAGTCTCAATCGAATGCAAATTTCTAGCGCCTGGTTATTTCAGTCTACATACGCCATTTGGTTTGGTGCAATATATCTAGCCTCGTTCCTCGAGTCTCTTGCTAGAACTGGGGATGAAACGCATTATGGTACACGATTCGTGTACCAATGGTAAAATGTTTATTTTGTCTTAAATATTGGACATCAGAATCCCATCTTTTTCCGATAAGATTACAGCATCAATGTTGATTTAAAATTTGTGTTTCCAATGTTGAAGATTTTGGATGATATTGAGTTAGAGACTTAGCTACTTTAACAATCACTCATGTTTTATGATATCAAAACTGTTTAGAATCTTAACATTGATACCTGGTCAATGTTCTTCAGTTGACAGAAATTAGAATAACATGCACATGTAATTGCATCCTAGTCACAGAGTTTTCTCTAAATATGTGTGAGTATGTACAGTTTTGCTCTGTGTAAAATAATCCATTCGCAAATGAAATATAGTTAAAATGAATTTCTTGTCCAACATGGATAAAACAGTGCTACATGTACATGTATATACTGACCGACACAGATGAAACGGTGCTACATGTATATACTGACTGACACTGATCAAACAGTGCTACATGTATACGGACCAAGAGTCTTAAGTTTATTTTCATTACTGAGTAGGTCTTATCAAATCATACCCGCATTTAAAGTGTTGTCTGGTCGTATGTATGCAATTAAAACCAACATCAAATTTCACACCTCATCAGATTTTTTACTTTCATAAAGGACATTTGTGGATCTAATGACATTGTGACCTGAATATGGTTGAAATTTATAAATGTGTGGTGAAAATGAATGCAAGCTTTAATATGATTATGATTTCATGCATTTTCTCTTTGAAAGCTAGCAACTACTGTCAGATGATTAAATCATCATTATGTTAGCCAGGACATTGACTGTCTCTTAGTCTTAATTATTCAACTGTTGATTATCGATTTATATGTTGCTTTCAAAAGTATCCTGTTTAAAATTACCTCTGATTTACATTGTACGCATTAATACCTTATTTTACAGTAGGTGATCATTACAAGCAAAGATAACATTTCTTGAGTCGTTGACTAATCAGGGTTTTTTTTTTTTTAAGTGGGGAGGTAAAAGTGCTATTTTGAATCAATATTTATCTATAAAAATTATATAAATCTAGAGGATTTCTCTTTTCAAAACAAAGTGTGGAATTAATATTATTTCAGTTAGTGATGCAACAACTTTAAATATCATTATCAACAGTAATAACGAAAGCACAGTCTGAAATTTTTGGGAACATTTAATTTATGTAAAGAAAGTATGACAAAGCAAATACCATTCAGATTCATAATAAAGGTTGCAAATGAATGTAAATGGACATGGTCATTCAATTATATTCTGATTGATGTAGAGTTACTGAATAAGATTTAACATGCAAACGGTAACAGTAACAAATGCATACAAACATTGGCTGTAACAAATGCATACAAACAACAGTAACAAATGCTTAAAGGGAATATTGAATCTTTGGGCAGACATGTGTTCAAATATCAATGCTTCGTTTATAATTTTTGTTTAGAAAAATAAGCTGTTCTACTTCTTTTGATGGAAGACGATTTCTTGAAGCTTCTTGTTCTTGTCCAGAACAGGTTAACACACGATTTGCTGGTATCGATGTCGCTGGGGTACATAAGAACCTCTTGGCAATATTTGATAATAAAGGAAATATTATTTCATGTTTCCTCCACCATAAAAGTGGATCAGATTTAGCAGACACGCGATCTGTGAACTGAAACTTGTTAAATTCTGTCTTTATGCGATCAAGTTCTGTGTGTTCTTTTCTACCCTGTTGACAGACAACATCTGAAAACCAGTCATCTAAAGTTGAAGTTGTGGGTTCACTTTCCACTTTCAGCTTTTTAGGAGAGGGTTCCAAAAGGGTTTTTGTTGATGAATTGGAAGATATATCTGAAGGAACTCCCATGGGCCTTCCATTTATTAATGCAGCAGAAAAAATTATTTCTTTGGCTTGATTTCGTTGTTCCTGGGAAACGAGTGGCAGTTCTTTATATCTTGGATCAAGTAAAGAAGAACCAATAAGATACAGATTAATGTTTTCATGTTTATAAGTTGATGAAAGTTGATTATAAACAGTTGATTTAACGGAACTGATGATAATATTGTCAGACTGATTAACAGTAAAACTAGTCAATAATTTCTGTAAGACTGGTAATATCATGGATACTAGAGGTTTTGATTCTTCACAAACAATACTTGTTGCTGTTTTCATTTCTTTAAATGCAGTAAGTAAATTCTCAGTTAAAATCTGATCTTCACTTGTGAATAGTAATTTGAGTGACTGAGTCTTGGTATGTGAACCACACAAATTATCTTCTATGACTGCTGTATTGGTAGACAGCCATTGAAACATTTCATAGATAGAAAGCCATCTTGATGTGTCTACTCTTACAATTTCATCTTCGATCATTGGTAAACTAGCCGCATGATTCTCTAGGTATCTAATTAGATTTCTGCCTTTATCTATCAATTTTTTCACATCAGGAATTTCGAAGCCCTTTAATGCTGCATTGTTAATAGTTTGAGCTAGACAAGGTATGAAATGCCAAGATAGATCATTAGGGTTGTTATAAAAGTCACTGTTTCCAACAACTGATACAGGTGGACTCGTGTTCCATTCGCTAACACAGTTTTCAATTATTTCATTCAGATTCTTGCTATCGAGATTATCATCAATTTGAAGTGATTTCAGTTGATAAGCTTTCATTGTCCACATATTATCAATATAATGTAAACAAAGACTGATCCATTTAGAAGACAGAGATGACCACACTTCAATTGCCATAGAGCCTCCATTTGTATTTTGACGCACTTCAAACAATATTTGCTGTTTAGTTTCCCTGTATATTTTTGAAATACGAGTAGTGCTAAAATTGTCATGTGGAATTTCACATTTTGGATCAAGTCTGTAAATTAGTTTTCGAAATGCTTTAGTCTGTATGGAAGACGTGGGTACACAATCAGAAATAATATATTCAAGTATGGCATTTGTTACAGTTTTTGATTTGTCATAATCATTTTCATCAGTATCTAAAGTACTTGAAGGGACACACTGAAATCGATGGTCACCAAACATCTTGGTTTGAAGCTCTGAAGCTAACTCTCGGCCATGCCTTTTAGTCACATGGTTGTAAAGATTTGTGGTATTACCATGGTTTTTGATGGCTAGGTGACAAATCTTACATATTGCCTTACTCCTGTCCAGTTGTATGCTTTCAGCATTATCATCAACAGCATAAAAACCAAAATGTTTCCAAACATCACTCCTGGCATTGCCAGGAAAATTGTACATTTTTCTTTCTTCGTCAGCCATCTTGAATATGCACTTGATGTTGTGTTTAGGTGAGCTGAAATCTGCCAGTGAGAGGGGTGACCTAAATTTACTGCTAGCTGATAAAGCTATTTTTAGTAACAACATCGATTAACTGAAGTTTCAGTGTAGCTGGCTGACATCGATTATATCCTGCAGGCAGTAGAGTGTCAAGAATCGATAGGCAAACTTTTATTGATCAATTAATCATGTGGACCGATTAATCTATACAAAATACATTGACTATCAGTATTTTTATTTTATGATTTCATTTTTTCTTATAGGCCTACAGTTGTATTTTATCTCACAACATTATAGTTACATGAGACACAACCTTATGGTTGAAAGAGAAAATGCACAACACAAATGGGTACAATTTACTAGAAAATGATGAACAATAAAATGAGACCCCCCCCCCCCCCCCCAAAAAAAAAAAGAGAAATGAGAATATTTTCTTCAAATTCAAAATACATCACCCAGGCAATTAACACTAAATTGATTTTTTATTGTCTGTACAATAGAATTTGAAAACATCAACTTGTCACTTTCTGAAATGTATATTTCATCCCACTGTGATTTTTATAGTGTATTTAAAGGTACAAAAATCCTTGGAACTGATTACTGAATGGCAGTCCATTGGTTGATTTTTGATATCGTGTAACAGGAAATTTTAAATCAATGTTTATAAATCTACAGATAGAAAGATTTATTATTGCTACATGCATGGCATGTTGTCCACGCTGTATTGGGAACTTTATATATCAGATGCAACAATACATCAGTCAGACCAGCTGTGTGACGGCATTTTACTTCCGTAAATTGTTTTCTATTTATGGATGCAAGTCGACACAAAATTATGGTTTTTAGTTCTGGTTTTCTTAATTGAAATAATTAATACTATGCTGCACATATTGGACATCTTTTTTGCCATTATGTCATTGTTTTTTTGACTGCCTGACCAATTACTTGTTAGATTATACAACAGATGTAACATTAAAATAGAAAATACAAACTGATGGATTTACTACTTCATAGTTTTATTTCACATGTTTCAATACTTTTACAGGTATATTCTGGAAGCATTGATCATAAACTGGATATAAACATGCACATATGAATATTACAAACATGAGTAAGACTGTTACTCATCGAAACAAGACAATTAAGTTATTAACTAAAATATAACAATAGCAACAAGAAATTCATTCTTGTTTTGGCAACTTCTGTACTCACTTCTTGCTCATTTTTATACGCCCACATTTTCTTGTTGACTTATTATTGCTTGTGGACACATTTATACGATTTTGATGAAACTTAAAATATAGGTCTGATTTTGATGAAACTTGAAATGTAGGTCTATCTCCCAAAGATCTCTGTTCCTTTCGATATTGGCATGTATCAGATCCTAACTTCATGGATTAAGGCCCCTGATTGTTTGAAAAATCACGTTTTTAGCTTGTGGACACTCTAGACGAAGTCACGATTTTCATCTGATTTTGATGAAACTTGAAATGCATGTTTTCTAAGCCAAAGATCTTGGTTCCTTTCGATATTTGTGCATATCAGATTGTAACTTCCTGAATTATAGCCTCTGATTGTACGAAAAATTGCATTTTTAGCTTGCTGTGCCTCTAGAGGTCACAATTAATATCCGATTTAAAAAAACCTTCAAATATATCGCCGTCACACCCTAATGGTAGTCGAGTTCGAATTTCTTGAAAATCGGAATGAAAATGGCTGACAAAATGGCCACTCCTTGTATGCAAATAGTGTAAAAGTATGTAATACCAAAGTTGTGGACCCTCTTAGAAGTCACAATTTTTATCCGATTTTGATGGAACTTAAAATATATCTTTATCCCAAATATCTGTCCTTTTCAATATTCGCGCATTTCAGACCATAACTTTCTGGATTATTGCCCCTGATTGTATGAAAATCGCTGCTGCTTTTTTTTTTTAGCTTGATCTCTATCCATGTGGGCATACCATGCCTGACAATTGCTGGTTTACTAGTTCAGTTAAATTGTCCTAAAATGTAATGATGACCGCTATTGATTAAGTTATGGAGTCTATATATTTATATTCTATGCCACATTCCTTCCATCTCTTTTATCCAAATATATCTGATGTCTATATTACGGTTTTATTCTCATCTATAGTCTGTTTAGTTCAGCAAACGGTTCTAATGGTGTTTATGAGTTAGTTTGCTTCTGACATGGTACAGGAGGGAATGAGTTCAATCAAGTGATTAACAAACAAAAGCCCATCTTTTTCCCTGCAACAATTGTTTTCCTTTAATAGCTTGGACATTGTTCTTCATAATAAATGTGGTCGATGCCACTTTCCATGTCCATTAGAGCTTGAAATAATCTGGAGTTTCAATTAAAAACTGAACCAGTCATATATTATGTACATACTACCACTTGATTTGAATAAAATAATTGACCCACAGTATTTAGATAAATAATTGTTTTTTGTTTGTTTGCTGTAAACTAAAATATGTCTATGGTTAGTTATATGATATAATGACAGGCCTATGAATAAATAGTTTGTCGTGATCTCATTAAATTTTGATGTCTATATTATATTACTGGGATACCTATATCATCTAGTTGAGTATATATTGATTTGTTATTAAAAATGTCTTTAACACGAGGTTCATGTCACCGTATTAAATTTTATACCATGGGGTATTGTGTAACAAAAAAAGACAATTCGTTTATTTGGTGCTGTAGGGTTTCAGATTAGTCTTTTTTTATTCTATATGTTTAATGTGTGTGCTTGAAATTGCAAGGTCTTTCTCTGAGTAAAGTGGCGTGGATTTGATTCCCTGCTTGTACGTGACAAGTAGGATCGCCTGCCCAACCTTGAGGGGTTTCTTTAAGCCCGCCGGTTTACTCCCACAGCTAAAGACCCCTGCGTGTGGTGTTAGAACCACCATTTAAAATCTGTAGGAATAACTTTATTGCAATAATTTTCCTTATTTCACGAAATTCAAAAATTGATAACTAAATGTTGAATAATGGGAGGAATTTCCTAACAATTTATTCCTCTCCAGCCTTTTCAACTCAATTTCTTTTACTCAACCTGGCTAAATATCTTCTCTGAAGATGATTGAAAAATTTTCAGATATTTTTTACCATTAGTTGTATATAAAGATTTTATTATATTGTTCCATGATGTTTCCATAATTAATGCTAATCAATCATGACATTTAAATAAATGGTGAAGTGAGCTGCTAATGAATGTTTTATTATGCTTTTGTATTACTATGGTTTAAATGACTATAGAGTTCCATTTCGGTGCATCAAATTCTATTGAAAGGAGACTGGTATTTCCAGGAAAATCAGACTATAGCTTTGCATCAGCTTGACAAGCAACTTACCTGTAGCGCTAAATGTAGGAAATTGGGATTCACCATTATTATCTCTTATTTTTAAATGTAAACAGTTTGAATATTATATAAGATATTCCGTGCAGAACAGTAGGACGTTAAACCACCATTTCATTTCATTTAAATTCTGAATGCAATTTGTCAATGTGAATGATTCATGAAGTTTCATATACACAAAAAAAAAGATTAACAATTATAATGACTATTTTAGTTAAGATTCTGAATGTAAATGTTAGCTTATTCATCTTTTATCTTCTGTTAGATAAACAAACTTTGCATATTTTTCCTTTATTTATAATTTTGTATTAAATAGAAAGCGTAAATACTAAAATAGATAATTTATTTGTTTGCCAGAACTGCTTAAAAAGATTTATCATTCGTTATTACTAAGTTAATGGATGAAGAAGATTAATTTGAAATAATTGTCATGGACATTATGCTTCTGGCAGTATTGCACTGAACAAATACACCTAATAATTTGTTAAATGTGTCTTCTCAGTTAAATTTGATTTTACCTTGAAAGTAAAGTTTCAAAATCAATTTGATACTAGATTACCCCTTTGTTACATATATTGTGATAATTAGTTTACTCATAATTACGACTTTACCAAGTAAAATTGATTTTAATAGCTATTTCTGTCACCAATATAACATACTAAATCTGATTCTTAGAATGATAGATACTTGTATAATCTAATATGAATATTTGGCATGATAATGGAAATGTTAAGGTTATAGAAAAATTATTAATATTTCAATGAACATGAATCAAAATAACTATTCTATTGTTTGAAAGAACAAGTAATAATAAATATGGTATATTATTAATATTATAAAAGATATTTTGTCATTATATAAACTTTCTTTGACATACAATACTAATATACCAGCTAATTATAATAACTATATGTGAGACGAGTTTAAGTAGAAGTTCATCATCTTGAAATGAGATGCCACACCTGAGTTATTGAAGGAAACTGATGAAAGCATTCAGTAATGTTCTGCTGTCAGAATCTGATTGGTTGATGCTAGGCAACCATCTGTCAACAAAGGTAATATGAGGAATAGAGACAATGTGATAGTGCGCAGGTAATCAGCCAACTCACTCACACACTCATTACTGACAGCAGAAGGGTGGGTCCATCTACTACAGTCTCTTGCTAATCACTCAGGTGGCTGGGTCGAGCTACCTGTCAACTCGTAGCACTGATGAACTCTTGTGCCCTTGGTCAGATTTTGACTTTTGAAGATAATTCTTCCATACCTTTGTCCTGACAGATACATCTTCTACACAGGTAATATAATTTGTATTGCTTTATCTTACTTATAAAATTGCCACTAAGATGGGCGTGTCTGATCTGAGATACCGATATAGAATTATTAAGATAATCAATTTTAGTGTAAAATCCATGTCAAATATTGGTTATGCTTACATAAAAATCTTTGTTTCGTTGCACCTTGGTTATTATGCATGTCATGCATAAAAGCCTTTTATTAAACCAATCTTTGTTAATAGCTGCAGGTTGGGCAGAAATTACAGGGCAGAATGATTATTGTTGACATCGTTTCCTTGTCGTAACTGTTTCTTCATGAATATTTTTTTTACCTACTGAATTTCAAAGATAGTGTTTCAAAATTAATTCTAATTCAAAGCCTTTG